TAGGTAAGTGTCTGTGAGTTAATGCTATTAGAGGTGGGGAAAGTTAGATGTCTGTGAGCTAAGGTATTAGAGGTGATAGCTTCCCCAGTTATCACCTCTAATACCTTAGCTCACAGACATCTAACTTTCCCCACCTCTAATAACCTTAACTCAGACACTTACCTACCTTCCTTCCTCCCCCTTCCTCCCCACATCCCCCTTCTGTTCTGAAATGTGATTTGTCCTTTTCATATTTGTTCATTTTTTTAATTGTATCCTTTGGTGTATATGGCTGGGACTATTTTCTTTCACTATTTGATCTGAGGAAGTGGGTCTGGCCCACGAAAGCTCATCATCTAATAAACCATCTTGTTAGTCTTTAAAGTGCTACATAGTCCTGCATTTTGCTTCAGCTACACCAGACTAACACGGCTACATTTCTATTAAAATGCTCATCTGTGCTTAAGTAGACAGCATCAGCTTCTGAAACAAAATGATAATCAAATAGCCTGAGCTGAATTTTGCAATCAATATCACAGTGAGTCATGGAAGCTGAAATGCCTCAAATAGGGGGAGGAGGGGGCATGCTTCTCAGGATTTGCAGATGAAAGTCAAGTGATTTAGGAGCACATGTTCCATTAGGTCCTTTTGAAAATTCCATCCTTCCATACCTAAATACAAGTTTAGAAACCTAACTTGTGGCTCCTGTTTTTGAAAAGATTGGCTGGTATATTTTTAAGAAGTCTAACTGTTTGTTAAGGCAGAAGAAATTTTATTTGAAGTGACAAGTATTTTATGCCACTGTGACGGGGCCCCGCAACCCCGCACTAAAACCCCTGCAGCAAAAGCCCTATTTGGGCAGTGGGGGAGTGCGCACCGGTGTTGTGCCCGGGTGTACCTGTGCCACGGATCAGCTGACAGCCTCAGGTGTGGTGGCTGCGGCATGGACACTGCAGGAGGGGCGGAGCTAGCTGGTGATGTCAGGATGATGTCCCCCTCCGGCGCTGGGCGCGGCGGGAGTTTTAAACGCTGCCCTGGGCTGGGTGAGGAGGAGGGGGTGTGGAGAAAGACAAATGGTGGGGATTGGAGCCTTCGTCCACGGAGGACGGGGGAGGGCAAGCACCAGTGGCCGCGGAAGGCAAGACATTGCAGACACCTGTGGAGCAACAGGGTCCAGAAGGTCATCCAGAGCGACAAGCGGCTGGCCCGCTGTGGGCTGGGTAAGCCAGCAGCACCGGAGGGGAAACAGAACGGAGAGGCAGTAGCCCAGGGCGAGACCATATCAAAACCCCGGAGATTGGCAGGTTTCGGCTGGACACCCCTGTCAGGCGGACCCGGACCAAAACCGGACCGGGTCCTTTAGGGTCCTGGGCTGGGGCCCGGAAGTGAGGGCGGGCCCGGGCCCCTCTCTCTACCCTTCTCCCCCTCTCGGACAGCTAAGAAAGAAATGCTCAGGAAAGCAACTAAAGGGCGTTTTAGACTTGTGCTGCCTGGAACTGGCGGGAAAAGCACGTCATACGGGGCAACGATAAGGGCGCAGAACAAGGGGGCACCAGACTATTCCGTCCGCGCTCGGATGCCCTGAACTATCCCCGGAAGGGGTAAAGCCCGGGCGCTGTGGGCACTGTCGGAGGACAGTGACCCAAATAGAATAGCGCCGCTGCCGTCGAAGCCAATTCCCCAAAAATCGACGATGGGTGGTGCTATAGGGGAGTCGGAATCCCTACAGCCACTAAGATTGTAATACAGATACAACTTTAGTTCTTTATTTTTCAAACACTTACTCACATACTTTCCTTTAAGTACAGGAATAGTCCCATTGAAGCTAATAGGACTATTCACGTAAATAAAGTTGCATGCCCGTTAAGCATTTGTAGAATCAAGGCCTTAATTTTAAGTATTCATGCATGTAACTCTGATTGATTGTCAACTGGTATCTTGTGGGGTAGATATACCCCCACAGAAGGTAGAAAATTATTGGAAGGAATTTTTTTTCTTTGCTAGTATTGTAGGGACATATTATTCAGAAAAGAAACATGTTCTGCTCAGGCAAGTTGTCGGTTGTAAATCCCACCATGTTAACCGTACTATGGGAGCTTACTCTGTGTGACAGACTGCCTTTTGCCATCAATTCCATGTTAAGAGCATCGCAGTTCTTGCCAACATCGAATAGATGAAAAAATTCTTCATATATGATTGATAATGGAAATCTCATTATGTGGCATCTGCTGTGTTCAGAAGTGCTATCTAACGTTTGCTCTGAGGCATCTTGATGTTCTACTTAAAGACGTGATCTTTGCAGATTATAGGATAATATTAAGGTAATAGGATTGAAGAATGCTAAAAGGTGAGTTCCTTTAGCAAATAAATACTCAATTTGAGAGTGTGAGGAAGTAGGCACATATCACTTTAATACACTTTTTGGAGTTGTGAATGTGTGCCTCCTTATTAGTAATTCTTAAATTTTATTTTGCTGTCCATTGCAAGCCCAGGCTCGCCACAGACAGAGGCTTCTCTATGGGAGGCAGAGCAGCCCTTGTCCAGGGTGAGCCTGCATCTTCTGTGGACAGGAGCTGCTGCTGGAGCAGCCTCTGTCAGTGGCCGTTAGCCTCACCCGTTCCCTCCCACCTCCCACCCAGCAGCTTCTGTCCACAGAGAGCTCGGACCCCCACAGCCAGGGGCTGCTGTCACCCTGTGCTGCTGCCTCTGTATTAGAAGCAGCAACATGGGGTGCAGGGAGCTCTCTGATAAGAGAGGCAGCAGTGTGGGGTGGCAGGAGGGCTCCCTGGGAGTGGGGCCGGGAGCGCACTGGCTGCTATCTCCATCTGCCGGGACTATCAAATAGTTGTGTAACTGCAAAGATTTTCATGTGGTTACATGACTATTTAATTATATGATATCTAACATCCCCATTTCCAATATTCCAATATTCTCCGCCAACAACAACTTGTGAAAATTAGCTTTAGCTTTGCAGTGTGCCTGGAGAGTCAAGGGCTATGGTATGAAAATGCTTTGCCACAAGACCCCTTTTCATTCAAATCTGTGGGTGTGTAGTTGGCAGGCCTGATCTGATCTCCATTCACAGAGTATAATATGAGAAGAAATATTTTGTTAAGTATATGGATTTGAAGTGTTAGGATCTGAGACCTATCAAGTATTTATACCTAGTCATTGCACAGTATTAGCACCCTGTCAAACATTGTCCTGTCAGATCACTATTTACCAAAGTCATTTTAACCAGAAACTGTTTTCAATCTGGGAAGTTTGTTTTTTCACAGAGGAATTTCTTTTCTCTTCTTATATTTTGTAGGTTCTTATTGATTCCAATAATTTTGGCCATACGTTTCCAATAAAATTGGAACACATACATTTGTGCAGCAAATGGCATTAAAAACGCCTCAGAAGTGGTGTTTCCTCTACGATTGTTTTATCTGTGAGCTGAGTGAGTTTTGTCTTGTGCACCAATATTGACATCATGTGTACTTGTATTTGTGTGTGTACATACATACATTGAGATATATATATAGCTCAATCACACACACTTTAAATTATGTAAGAAAAAATATTAAAAAACAGATAATTAACAAGATGCATGACCCTGCACCCACCCATCCTCTGAGCAGGAGATGGAATAGACTGAGTCATTTCCACCTTCCTGCTTGTGTTGCCAAGAGTCCTGTTGAACTATACTAAGTTAAATCTATAGAAAACATCCCAGTAACTTGGCCAACATAAGTAGTCATAAACTAGTACAGTGCAGCTCGTGTCTGTCAGACGCGTCACTGCATATCTTATAAAATAATCTGCTGTGCTTGCATGAGCAGTTGATTTAACACGCATATTGTTGTACTTCACATATGAGAGCACAATCAAGCCTTAAAAAAAAACTTGGGATATTCAGCTTCTGAATCTTACCTATAGTCTGCTTTCCCACATGATTAAAAAACCCTTCTAATTCTGTATTTCACCTTGTTCTTATTATTGGTTAGTTTAGGTTCTCAGCTGTGTGTGAGAAAATTGCTATGGTGGGGTCCAGTTATCTGGCCCATATTTGGGTGAGTTGCATGGCAACCATCATGTTGGCATCTGTGTTATGAAAATAAAATGAACTGATATTTGAAACACAAATAATTTAGGGTTTTATAAATGTGAAGGCTGAAATCTTTACTGTTTACTTTTGAGCCAAAGGCTGTTGTGACGTTGATGTTTGTTTAGAAAGTACATACTGTTGTCATGAATAGGAGCTG